TGTGACTGCTTTCTAAAAAAAAACCAAAACAAAAACTTCCTGAAGGGAAAGTCTGAACACATCACTCTCCAACTGACTTAAATTGACCCCAGGAAACAGAATCCGGATTTCAGATCTCAGAGTAGACCCTCAAATCCAAAGTTCACTACAACAATACCGGCCTACCAATGAAAACTCTGCTGATCTACAAACCATCTGAGATGCCTCCAAGGTAATCATTAGAGGGGACTGAGCCTCTGTTATCTACCAGACTAGATGACAGACTCAAGAAAACCTTACCCAGGCTGGAACCTGGAGACCACCTAGGCTAGGGACCAAGACCCTGCAACCCACAATGTCTACAGACCTCCTGGGGGGGAAGTCCCTCAACTTTGCACTGTAGCAAACCCAAAGCATCTACAGACACAGTGATAGAGGTGGTAGACTTCTCGCCCGGTTGGCCAGGAAGCCATCATCTCAGGCTGTTGCTAGTATATATGGCCCGCGTGATCAACCCCTGACCCATCCTAAGCTTATTAATGAACAATTCTTCCACTGTTATCAGACCCTCCATACTTCTAAAATAACCTTCACTTGATCTTGTAGGCTTCCTGGAGACCGTCAAGTTGCCTCCTTCTCCGCAGCTAGGTGCCTAAACCCGGGAAGTACCCCCGATAGGTCCTCCTCTTAGCTCCCCATATCCCTGCCTAATGTGGAAACAAAAATAGATACTGGCCAAAGGTCTGAACTTAGTCATCACTCACCTAGTCTGGCTCTAAACTGGGCAAGGGCATACATATAAATCTGCAACGTCCATTCACCCACCTTGGTGCGACCCACCACTCTGGATGCAGAGAAGGCTTTTGACGCTCTTGAATTGCCATACCTTTGGATGGGACTTGACAAGTTTGGCTTTGTCCCCAAATACATAGCGTGGGTCAAGCTCCTCTACTCTGCCCGCCAGTAAGGGTGTTTACCAAGAATACCCTTTCCTCTTCAATGGAACACAAGGTAGGTGGTGCCCCCTCTATTCTGGCCTTTGTGCCACGGCAAGCTGGTCCCTTGTAACAGCTCAGACATCAGGGGACCACGAGTGGACCCCTGGAAAATAAACTCTCCTTATACACTACTCTACCCTAATGATGGTGAATTGTCACAGTTGCCCCTCTCATACCTCTATGACAGCTTTGGATACTTTTCGGGCAGCAGCATGGAATGGTCTTAATGCACCCTCTGCCCCCTGGATTACCTGGCACAGCGGCTGGCAGGTCCTACCCCTCTCCAGTGGGTGCATCAGGCAATATCTAGGCATACAAGTCACCAAGCGATATGTGGATCTCAACCCCTGCGCTATAGTCCACCAACCTTCTACTCAATGTGAGGTCTGGTCTTCTCCACCCCTGTCAAAGGTTGGCTGAGACCTCATAAAAACGATTTTCCTGAGGAAGTTCATTTTCGGTTTTAGACACTCCCCCTATGTGGATAACTAAACACATTACATTAAAAGATATCGTGCTTTCCTCCTTTATTTGGGTGAAGACCTCCCAGACCAGCGCTTACTCAACAACCGCCGCAACCAAAGTGGATTTGGCTTTGTCTAACCTACTAGGTTGCCTTCTAGAATCATTTTTGGCTGCCAATAGGTGGTGGGTCACCCTGCCCGTAGGCTTACAGGCAACTGCACACCGCTCCCCTCAAGATCTTGGTGTAAAAAGGCCCTCACTTGTGTGGAAGGTCGCTACTGCATGATCTTGCCCCTTAACTCCTGGTCCCCCTTTACCCACCAACCGTACCCGACACCATCTTTGTGTGTGCGCAGCAGTCTGGGTTACACCACCCTGGGCCACCTTCTTCAAAATGGACACTATGGGCACTTTTGACTCCCTGAAAGAAGAGTATAACGGGATGTTCTTTAGATACCTTCAGGTGAGGCATGCTGGGGGTTCTCAATACCCCCCCAAATGCCATCCATACCAGACCCCATGGAAAAACTACTGCTCCACCCCCATCCTTTATAGAACGCTTTTGTCATACCGCTCCTCCAAGCTAGTTACCAATGGTGGACTGACATCCCTGCCTCCCAGGAAGATGACTCGGAGGACGGAGTATCATAATATACCTCTCTTATGTAGATGTTCCTTTACCCACAATTCCTGCACAGAATTATAACCCTCAAAGATGACATCATATTAATACTGAGATTTTGGACTTGAGGTTGGCTCATTCATACATATGGTCTGTAGCTGCTGTTGCTTTATCCAATCCTATTGGCAACAGGTGGTCTCCAAGCTGGTTCCTGTCCGAAGAACGCCTTGGGCTTGGACCTACTGATCTTTCTGCTGGGTGTCCACCATGACCATACCAAACGTCTCATCTTCTATGCAGCTTAGGAAGCCAGACAGGAAACTCTCCTTCAATGGGACCTCCCTTCCTTCCCCCGTCTTAAAGGGACTGGTGCACAACCATTCGAAAAAGGCGACCCGTATATATCCAAGTGGCTTACATGAATATAGAAAGTCCAACACAACCTGATGAAATCTGGTCTGCCTGGATACAGAATGATCATGATCCAATATCTTCCCAATAACGTGTATAAAAAGAGTAACTAAGCTTACATGCCTCCCCTTCGTTTACATCCCTTTTCTTTGAATAACATTTACCTGCTAAGGAAATAATGATCGCAGGAGCAAAACAAATGCAGAAAAATATACAAAAACTAGAGAAAGATCCTTAAAAAAAAAAAACCTTTGAAAGGAAGCCAGAGACCCCGACATCGGTCCAACAGGAAGTGAAGAAAAATCTCTCCAAGCTCCAGTAAAACTAGACGGGTTTTATTTCTTCAAGGAGTTGGGGCCGGACATACACTTTAAGGTGCCTTCAGTCAAGGGCGTCTCGAGGCCAGGTGTCACCCGGAGCGGAGACCAGGTGACACCTGGCCATGACATCGCGCACCTGCGTGGTCATCTAAGTGAGGCCTGCCATCTTAGTGATGGACGCCGGCAGAGAGAGGAGGGGACGTTCACCCGCCAGGATAAGATATGCCGCCGGGTCCTCTCCTCTCTCCTGACACTGTCGGGACCGAGTGCCCGACTTTTAAAGACACCAAAATGACTGACCGTCACCCCTCCAATGGTGTCACCCAGGTGTGGGCCGCACCCCCCTTGTGACGCCTGGCAGCTTGGTGAATCTGGACCCATCGCGTTGTCATGGCGGAAGAGGGAGAAGCTTTGCGGGCTGACATTTGCAGGGACAACCCATCAGCAGGGCGGAGGTTGGCGTGTACAGGATGTGAAGGATATTAAAGACGTAATTCCACAGATCTGATGACTTTGTTGGGCGGCGGCACGGAAATGGCCAACAGAGTAAACTGGCAGAAGGACGCCGAAACACTGTGATCAGCATAACACAGGTTCTTCAAGACCACCATCTGGACCACGCTTCCACTGCCCCAACAGAACCAGAGTATGAATCCAGGGCTCACGAGGCGTTGGAGAGATACTATGGTGGTGTAGACCTCGAGGGGGAATTTATCAAAAGTGGAGCAGACGTCCATAGTAACCAGTTTTTCTCTTCAGTTAAGATTTGAAAATGAGGAGAGAAGCCGATTGGTTGCCCCGGGCAACTGCTCCAGATATCGTCTGCTCCAGTTTTGATAAATCCCCCCTCACTGTATTTTGAACTTTGCATGGAATTTACAATAAAGTCGGATTTTCATGGACTTCGGTTTAGTGCGGCTGATTGGAGAGATATTCCAGGTCTCAGTAGGTTGAGATGCCTCTCATGGGTCGGTAGTAGGGATGTCCCGATTCGGTAATTGGTATCGGCAAGTACATGAGGGGATGTACTTGTACTTGGGCCTGAAAAAGTGGCATCGGGACATCCCTAGTCGGTAGTTGTGAAGATGCCTCACAAGCAGAGACGGGTGGAAGGGCGCACAAGAGTTAACGGATGATGGACTTCCCGCTTAGGCTTCTCCGTGTGGAGCGGTGGTGAAAGCTGGAAGGAGAGACACAGCAACATTACACGGGTGCCAATCCAGGACAGGCAAGACCCGACGAGGGACATCTCCGTGCAATGTACTGTATGGGCTCTGAAGGTCACCTCCTACTCTCAGGGTATGCGGAGGGCCACTCACAAAGCCAGCAAATGAGGTGGGAGGAGGAAGAATGACCGCAACGCTGGTTTTTCAATTCCTGCTTCCTAAAGAAGGAAGTTATAAATGGGGAGGACACTTGGAGGTCATCTGATGTCTCAGCACCCAGGAAAATCTCCAACACCTCGGATCGTCCCCTGGTGTCCTCACACATAGCAAGCACTTGTCTTCCGAGTACGGGACTGTTTGGCCAACTCTGAGCAGTGAAATGGTTCAACCCGCCATCTCCAGGCTACAAAGACATCTTTCTAACTTGGCCACCGATATGAAGACCGGTTCCAGGTGAAGTTCTGGCGATCGTCTTTTTTTACAGCACCACCAACACCATGGAAGGCTCCGGTGCAGAAGCCATTGGTGGAACCAGGCCAAGCCTTGGTGCGGGTATTTCGTTTGAGGGAGCGGATCAGAAGGCAAGCAGAGGAGGTCTCCAGGCTGAGATTGGAAGACTCCACTGAAGTATCACAAGGTACAAGGCGCTGGCACAGTGTGCTCAGATCCAATAATACGAGGGCCAGAAAATAAAATCGGGGGACCCGTTTATATTGCAGACCACAGCTGGTACACTGATGTATATTATAAAATCAAGAGGACCTGTTTACCATGGAAGCACAGTGACGAGCCCTCCGATTGGCAGAGGATGGATATATGTTTAATAAATAGAAAAAACAAAAAGCTAAATTACAGAGCCACGGCAATAAGGCACTAAAAAGGAGATTAGCTTCATATCCTGCAAAACAAAAACTGCCCTGCAAATGACTCTCGGTACGCTGCGGCAGAGAGAGAGAGTGCGAGGCCGTGTGCGATTAGTGACCTCGGGGGGGGCGGAGTTTAAAGCTGCGCTCCTTTCCAAAAATATATATATAGAGAGAGAGAGTCCTCTTTACTTGTTCCGGCTTTGCTTCCGCTCAAAGAACTGAAAGAGAAACAAAAAGACAGTTTTATTACAGAGTCATACCCGGAGGGGGGTTCTATGGTCTGAGCCTCAGTCAGGGGCGGGCCACTCTAACTACAAATCCCAACATGCATCTGCCTCCGAGAGTCACGCCTGTGGCTGTCAGTCTTGCAATGCCTCATGGGAGTTGTAGTTTCACAGCTGCAGGGATGGATCTGCCCATCCCCCCCCCTGGGATAAAAGGACCTTATCAGGTGTCTAAAACAGACCCAATGCAGGCAGCTCATTGCTGGTGGGAGGGGTCGGCAGTGGGCTGTCCATAGCACTCGGCCTCGGTACTCCCCCTCAAAAGCCCCAAGCCATGAGCTGCCTCGTGGGAGGAGTTATGCAAATATCAGCAGGCCCTGGTGGGTGGGTATCAGTGTGGAGGAGTGGGCGTTTCCTGGACGGGCTGCATTTAGGAAACAACCACATGTGATACCAAAGAAAGGAAACCCAATGAATAAAAGAGGCGGGGCCAGTCAGGCTGGAGAGGAAAGGTCTCGATGAGGACAGGAAGTGAGGCGGGCTCTGACTTGCTGCAGCTTCTAATGTACATTGTGAGAAGCTCCCAGTGTTCAGTGACGTCAGAGGACGGAGGTCAGATAGAAGACTGAAGGGGAGGACGGAGGTCAGATAGAAGACTGAAGGGGAGGACGGAGGTCAGATAGAAGACTGAAGGGAAGGACGGAGGTCAGATAGAAGACTGAAGGGGAGGACGGAGGTC